ATGGCACGAAATCCTCCTCCTGAACCAAGAATAGCAATCGAGGGCACCTAATTATGATTAAACAAACTCTGTATGTCATCAAAGTAAGGTAATTTGGTATTACCAACTGAGTTAATAACGTAATAACGTCATTCGCTATGACAAGGAGCTCACGCTCTAAACTCCAATTTTTTTGCGGGCCAATTTACGTTATCAACTCGGTTGATAATACCAAGTTATTCTGTATATCATCATTCTGGTATTTCCCAAATTTTTTAGTTCATTTTCCTCTCAGAATCTTTTTTGCCTTCTCTTTTGGTGTGTGGTGCATTTTACATTTTGTTAACTTAATTTCAAGAGTGTATTTACCTCATCAAGTTCTTTTGGTCCTCGTTCTCCGAGCAGTTTTTTCATTTCTGCAAAAACAACCTCTTTCCTCTTCCGACGAAAATCAGTTTCCTCGACACAAAGGTCCAGGCTGTACCTCATGTCCGTAGGTGCAGAGCTGATAGAAAAATATTAGGAAATATTTCATTTTTCTTTGAAATGGATAAAACGTAAATTAAGCTTCCATTTTGAAAACTGGTGTATTTTTTAAACTTAAATCGACGGAGAAGAGCTAACCGGTCGTATTGTCGAATAAATCATTGTCATCAACATTATCTTTATCACTATGTTCATCATTATCATTACTATTATTGCTAAGACTATTATTATTACTATTTACATTATTAAGATTATTACTTGGATTTTTCTTTCGGTAAAACTTTGGGTAATCCTGGAGAATTTGCTCGATATGCAATTTCATCACACCTTTATCAGTAGGAAAAAAATGAATATACATTTCACAGCGCTTTACCCTCGCCATTCGTCAAGTGCGATGTTAACGGCGGGTAGCTTGTCCGACTTACACTGGAAATCATTAAGGATCACTGAGTTTTTCCCCCGAGAGATATATGGTGAAACTCCACACTAGCAAAAATTGTTGATGGTCTTACCATGTTTTAACTTTCATCTCTACATCAACCTCTGAGTTCTGGAACACAACATATAGTCGTGTCAATGAGAGTTTGAATGCTTCATCAGATTTGTTACACGAGTGACATGAAGGCTTAGCATTTGAGAAGAGTTATATCATACCTCTCTGAAGACAAATGTTTTCTGGTAAGTTTCATCGATTTTCAATGCACTTAAGTCAAATGACTTTGTGTCTACCAAATCGTCACTGAGTGTGTCTGACTCCATTAAAGTTATTTCTGAGAAAAAAAGAAATTTTTAAGTTGACAAGTGAATGGGTCAAAACACATCAATGGAACTTATACGAACGGAATATTTCAGTGAGATCAACAGTGGAATTGAAGATAACTTCTCCAGTTCCTGTTTTTTGATAAGATCTGGGAAAGGAAAAGCATTTCTCGGCTCTTAAAAGAACCTTGCGTTTTCAATTTGAACTGAAGCAACTAAATCTCGACTATATTTTAAGTTAAGTTTTAAGGTTCAATATGTTGTTTACCGAAGTGACCCAATAAATGATCAAGAAAAATGCATCTTGTCTCACTCTCGTGTTCCAAATACCATAGGTTGCTTACCCAAAATGTTTTTCACATTTTGATCAAGGTAAAACTGCAATGTTTCTTCCCACACAGGGTTAGCTGTGTTGTTTTTCACTTTGGTTCTCTTCTTGCCATTTGGCGCTGTTCTAATGAACAATTTTACGTAGGGATCCGGTGTATCCACTGAAAGATAAAAATATTTTATTTTATCTGAGGGGGGGGGGAGGGGGGGTAACATATGCTGTGATTTTCTTGAACGAAAGTGAGCGCAGACAACTTTCGCCAATCAATAAAACTGTCTCTCTGCCTCCGAGCTAATTACATGAAGAACATTGATTAGTTAGACAGTCCTCGGATGGAAAAATTTCATGAACTG